AGCTGGGATTACGGGCACGCGCCACCATGCCCAGCTGATTTTTTGTATTTTTAGTAGAGACGGGGTTTCACCGTGTTGACCAGGATGGTCTCGATCTCTTGACCTCGTGATCCACCCGCCTCAGCCTCCCAAAGTGCTGGGATTACAGGCTTGAGCCACCGTGCCCGGCCCTCCAGAGCATTTTTTTATGCATTGACATTCAGTATCAAAGATATGTACCTTGTGGAGATTTCACATAAAGAAGAAGCTGTACCTATTATTTTGTAATTTGCTTTTGCTCCCTAACAACCTATTTTAGGGATCATTTCATGTCAGTCCATTGGTTTGAAGGACTGCAGGGGATGGAGGTGCAGATTTGTTCACTTAGTCCTTTACTAATGGACACTTAGGTCATTTTCAGCTTTTCCCCTTAACAAACCATTCGCTCTTAACCGAGGCTAACAAAACACCAAAAACCCGGCATCCTATTAGCTCCAAAGGAACAAAACTAAGGAACGTCAGAATAGTTACCTCATATCCTAACACGCATTGCATATAGAGTACTGAGCCCTTAGCAACACCATGAAATCAGAACGGGCTCTCAAGGCCATTTAAAATCAAACTCATGCCACGACTTAGTCTCCTGCAGCAACGCCCTGTACCACAGAGGTGCCATCTGGAACACCTCCAGTGATGGGGAGTTCACAATCTGATCAAGATACCTTAGTTCATCTTCCAGGAGCTCGGGCTGAAGAGGAAGGGGACAAGAACGGGCTTCACTTGTCTGCTTTGTCTCTCCTTCCCCACTCCAAGGCTGCTGCTGGAGTTTGACCTACTGATCTTCAGCTTCGGACAGCTGCCGGTGGCGCTGGTGACCTGGGTGCCCATGTTTCTGTCCACCCTGCTGGTGCCGTACCAGGCCCTGCGGCTGTGGGCCAGGCCGGGGGCTGAGGGCACCTGGGTGCTGAGGGCGGGCCTGGGCTGCGCGCTGCTGGCTGTCCACGCCGTGGTCCTCTGCGCGCTGCCGGTCCACGTGGCTGTGGAGCATCAGCTCCCGCCCGCCTCCCGCTGTGTCCTGGTCTTTGAGCAGGTGAGGGCTGAGCCACGCTGGGGAACCGGAGGGAATGGGCGGGCGGGCCCATTTCAGCGGAGAGGGAGTGCCCCAAAGAGGGGGCGGGGCCCACGAGAGGGAGGGCGCGGGAGAGGGCACTGGCAGGGGCGGAGCTAGTTACCAGGGGCGGAGTCCATTACGAAAGATTTGGGGAACCTGCAGGCTGGAAGGCAAACAGTGTGACACCGCCATCATAGGAGGCTGGCAGGAGGAAGACTCCGCTCTGGCCTCTCATCCCAGCAGCCTTTACTCATCCCAGCATATGTTCGGCTATATGGCCATTCAACAGAGAAAGAGTATGGGCTCTGACCAGACAGATTTTACACTCTGCCTGCCTCTCAGAGGTAACCCAGAGCACAGAGAGGTTAAGCGATTTGCTTAAAGCCACACAGCAACTTGGCCTCCCTTCCACTCTGCCACAGGTTAGGTTCCTGATGAAAAGCTACTCCTTCCTGAGAGAGGCTTTGCCTGGGACCCTTCGTTCCAGAGGAGGTGAGACCTTCCTTCATCTTGCTCAGCTGTGAACTCAGTCCTCTTGGCTGATTGAATGAAGCCAACAGGCGCAGGATCCTGATAAAAGCCCTGCCTTCCTAAGCCCGGGTTGCCCACCAGGCACAGCGCTGGCCTCCAGCTGGCATTCTCAGCTCCGGCCTCTGACAGACAGCACCCCTGTTACCCAGGACTTCTGGCACTTTCCTATTTCCTATTTCCAGCCCCAGCCTGTCACGCAGGCTTTGTTGTTCCATTTATAGAGCACAGGCAGAGTACATTTAGTATCATTCTGAAGGGCCCTAGACTTTTTGGAATGACAAGTTGCCACTGGGTCCAAATTAAAGTCACCAGCTGCATTAGACCTTAACAAGAGAGTCAGGCTGGGCACAGTGGTTCACACCTGTAATCCTAGCACTTTGGGATGCCGAGACGGGAGGATTGTTTAAGCACAGGAGTTCAAGACCAGCCTGAGCAACATAGTGAGATGGGGTCTCACTTCAGAAAACGTTTTTAAATTAGCCAGGTGTGGTGGCTCATGCCTGTGGTCCCAGCTGTGTGGAGACTGAGGTAGGAAGATTACTTGAGTCTGAGAGGTTGAGGCTGCAGTGAGCCATGACTGTGTCACTGCACTCCAGCCTGGGCAATGGAGTGAGATCCCATCTCAAAACAAAACGAAAAAAATGAGAGACATGCAACTTTTTCTTTCATTGAACACTTGGAGACTATTTAAAGGTTATTAATTGGCCTAATTTCAATTTTTTTTTTTTTTTGAGATGGAGTCTTGCTCTGTTTTCCCAGGCTGGAGTGCTGTGACACGATCTTGGCTCACTGCAACCTCTACCTCCTGGGTTCAAGCGATTCTCCTGCCTCAGCCTCCCAAGTAGCGGGGATTGCAAGGTGTGCGTCACCATGCCTGGCTAATTTTTTTTTGTATGTTTAGTAGAGACAGGATTTCACCTTGTTGGCCAGGCTGGTCTCCAACTTCTGACCTCCAGTGATCCACCCACCTCGGCCTCCCAAAGCGTTGCGATTACAGGGATTAGCGACCATGCTGGGCCAACTTTTTTTTTTTTTTTTTTTTTTTTTTTTTTTAGAGACGGTCTTGCTATGTTGCCCGGGCTGGTCTTGAGCTTCTAGGCTAAAGCAATCCCCTTGTCTTGGCCTCCCAAAGTGTTGGGATTACAGGAGTGAACCGTTAAGCTTGGCCCCTAATTCCAATATCGTTGTGTCTAGAGTACAGACCAGAGGAGAGCAGGAGAGAGGGGAGAATGGCTGGTCAGTGGAGTAGTCAGAACACACAGAATTTATCAGTTAAGTTTGCTCTCCTATTTGGGTGTGTTTCATGATGCCCTAAGACAATTACCATAGTAATATTAAAAATCACTGATCGGCCGGGCGCGGTGGCTCACGCCTGTAATCACAGCACTTTGGGAGGCCGAGGCGGGTGGATCACAAGGTCAAAAGATCAAGACCATCCTGGTCAACATGGTGAAACCCCGTCTCTACTAAAAATACAAAAAATCAGCTGGGCATGGTGGCGCGTGCCTGTAATCCCAGCTACTCAGGAGGCTGAGGCAGGAGAATTGCCTGAACCCAGGAGGCGGAGGTTGCGGTGAGCCGAGATCGTGCCATTGCACTCCAGCCTGGGTAACAAGAGCGAAACTCCGTCTCAAAAAAAAAAAAAAATCACTGATCATAGATCACCATAACACATATAAGAAGCAGAAGAAAGTTTGAAATACTTCAGGAATTGCCAAAATGTGACGCAGAGACATGAAGCGAGCTGTTGCCATTGGAAAAAGTGGCGCTGATAGACTTGTCCCAGGCAGGATCACCACGAACTTTCAATTTGTGAAAAAGGCAATACCTGGGAAGTGCAGTGAAACAAGATGTGCCTGTATTAGGAGGTCCAGACAGCAGGGGAAGGAGAATGGGTTGTGGAACACGTGCGTACCAAATGCAGTTCTGGCCACAGCAGGCCCTGCGCTGGAAAATAGGGCGCCTGAAATGAAAGCAGAAGAGACGGTGTTAAAGAGCCAGTTCTGCTCCTGCCCCGCTTAGCTCCCCCAGCCCGCATCGGGTCCTACATCCAGCTCCCTGCCTGTCCCCCACCCCTACCCTATCCATTTCTCCACTCATCAATCCCACCAGCCTTCCCCAGCAGCTCCCTCACCTCTGCCCTCTGCCCTTCCCCTTACTAATCCACCCCTCTCATCCCTCCCCAGGTGAGGGGATCCAGGCCCCCAGTTTCTCCAGCTACCTCTACTTCCTCTTCTGCCCAACTCTCATCTACAGGGAGACTTACCCCAGGTAAGACCCTGCATCCCTTCCCCAAATGCCCAGGCCCATCAGGAACCCTACCCTTCTACTCTCCCCTCCCTGAGGTCCTCAGTATTGCCTCAGGCACTGGCCACTTTCTCGGAAAGCATCTCGTAATAAAGATGGGAAATACGTGGCTGGCAGACTACCCTGTCTCCTTGCCCAGCCAGTGATGACGCTAGGGTGACCCACTTTCCTGGTTTACCCAGGGCTGTCCTGAATTGAGTACTGAAAATTCTACCCATCCTACACACCTTTGTTGATGTTTATGTTTCAAATCCACTTGTCATCTCTGTTATGGAAAGTTTAAAGGATCCTAGATCCCACCACCCTAGATAATCCTCTCAGGCCTGAGCAAAATTCAGGGAACTGCGGAGAGAGGGCCCCAGTCTGTGCCCAGGCTGAGCAGAGGACAACATGAAAGAATGAGAAACCTATTGTCCCCATTGCCACTGCAGGACGCCCTATGTCAGGTGGAATTATGTGGCCAAGAACTTTGCCCAGGTGAGGAGATGGGGTAGAAGGGTGGACCCGTGACGCATGGTGGTGGAGAGGGAACATTTCTGGGTGGCCTGGAGAGGCAATAGAAGTGTGGTGTCAAGGGAAGAGAAGGCCTATGCTGCACCAGAGGTCCAATGCTACCGGCAGCTGTCAGCATCCCTCTCTAGTTACATGTCCCCACACCCCCTCCAGACCCTGGGCTGTGTGCTCTATGCCTGCTTCATCCTGGGCCGCCTCTGTGTTCCTGTCTTTGCCAACATGAGCCGAGAGCCCTTCAGCACCCGTGCCCTGGTGCTCTCTATCCTGCATGCCACGTTGCCAGGTGAGCCAACTAAGGCGGGGCTGGAGCAGGCTGTGCCCTGGGGAAGGCTTATCAGGGAAGGACTTGTAGTTACCTTCCTCCATTTCAACACGTTCTCCTTCTGAGCCTCCCCTCATGTCTGTCCCCTCCTATCAGGGTGCATTGCCATGGTCTCAGTTCAGACCATCTGCTCCCCCTCTGCACCAGCCTCCTAACCCATATCCCTGGCACCCAGATCTTTCCTCTCCCATCTATCCCTGACACTGCTGTCCAGGCAAACTTTCCTACTACAATGAATCATTCCCTACCCACCTTCAAAAACTCTGATGATAAGCCAATGCTGGCACTTTCAGATCAGATTTGAACCCTTGGTGTGGCATCCGAGGCCACGCCCCCTGAAAGGCATGTATTTACGTGCCTCCAGGCCTTTGCTCATACTGGCCCCTCAGCTTGAATGCCCTTTCCCCATTTTCAGCCATGGAATCTTTTCTTCTTGGAGGCCCATGGCTGAGATGCCCCCTCCTCTGGGAAGCCTTCCTTTTATAGCCATCAATTACCATGATGGCTAATTGAGAAACTATCCATTTCTCTGCACTCCCAGACACATCAGTGCCACCATACTTAGCTCCCATTACATTTGCCCTGGAAATGTGGTTGGGCATGTCTTTCTGTCTCTGTCTCTGTGTGTGTGTCTCACTTCAATCACTCTGTGACCTCCCAATGGCCAGGGACTTTGAGATTTATATTTATCCCCAACCTCTGGCACGAAGTAGATGCCAAGTAAACGTACATGAACAAATGGATGAATAAATGAATGTATGAAGACAGGCACAGTGGCTCACACATGTAATCCCAACACTTTGGGAGGCCGAAGAAGGAGGACCGCTTGAGGCCAGGAGTTCGAGACTAGACTGGACAATATAGTGAGATCTCATCTCTACAAAAATATTTAAAAATAGCCGGGCGCGGTGGCTCAAGCCTGTAATCCCAGCACTTTGGGAGGCCGAGGCGGGTGGATCACGAGGTCAAGAGATCGAGACCATCCTGGTCAACATGGTGAAACCCCGTCTCTACTAAAACTACAAAAAATTAGCTGGGCATGGTGGTGCGTGCCTGTAATCCCATCTACTCAGGAGGCTGAGGCAGGAGAATTGCCTGAACCCAGGAGGCGGAGGTTGCGGTGAGCCGAGATCGCGCCATTGCACTCCAGCCTGGGTAACAAGAGCGAAACTCCGTCTCGGAAAAAAAAAAAATATATTTAAAAATAAAAATTAGCTGGGAGTGGCGGCTCACGTCTGTAGTTGCAGCTACTTGGGAGGCTGAGGTGGGAGGATCGCTTGAGTCCAGGAGTTTGAGGCTGCAGTGAGTGCATCACTCCACTGCACTCTAGCCTGTCTCAAAAAAAAAAAAAAAAAGAAGAATGCATAAATTCATGAATTACCAATAAATGAATGTTGGGGCCCTGATTTCTGGGCAGGGGTTCCTCAGAGCCCGGATCAGGGCTGCCTGCGGGTCCAGGTGGGCCATTCTGACCTGCAGCCCCTTGTCCCCATCCACCAGGCATCTTCATGCTGCTGCTCATCTTCTTTGCTTTCCTCCATTGCTGGCTCAACGCCTTTGCCGAGATGCTACGATTTGGAGACAGGATGTTCTACCGGGTGGGGCCTGGACCTAGGCCAGCTGGAAGCTGGAGGCAGGGAGGGCTGGGGAGGGATCTGGGGAAGACGGTGGTCAGGAACGGTGTCACTTCAGCCACACTGTTCACCTCCCATAATAAGCAGTCCTCTAGATGTGGTTATAATGCCACCCCTCCACCTCCTGACCAGCCAGAGCTAACTGCTTTTGTGTGCATGGTGCTACAGAATCTTCTTCTCCTGAGAGAGGGAGTAGGAGGGAGGACGGGGCCTCCACGTCCCGAGGAGGGAGCTGAGAGGGTGTCTGCTGTCCCTATTCTGCCAGGAGCCAGCCCTTCCGGAGCACTGGGGTGGGTTGCAGGCAGAAGGAGCAGAGGGGAGGAGCCGGGACCCAGATGCCGGCTTACCTCCTTTTCCCCACTCTGACCCCACCTTCTCCAGGACTGGTGGAACTCAACATCCTTCTCCAACTACTACCGCACTTGGAACGTGGTGGTCCACGACTGGCTGTACAGCTACGTGTATCAGGATGCGCTGCGGGTACGGCCCTGCAGACCCCTTCAGCTCCCAGTTAATGGAGGCTCTCCTTCCCTCCAGCGACAATGTGGAGTCTACACCACTTACCTTTTCCAGGCCTAAGAGCCCTTTTGATTTCATCTGCCCTCATTTTACCCAACCCAGTGGGTAGAAAGTCCTTGCAATCTTAATTTTCTTCCATCTTTATCCTTTTTTTTTTTGAGACGGAGTTTCGCTCTTGTTACCCAGGCTAGAGTGCAATGGCGCGATCTCGGCTCACCGCAACCTCCGCCTCCTGGGTTCAGGCAATTCTCCTGCCTCAGCCTCCTGAGTAGCTGGGATTACAGGCACGCACCACCATGCCCAGCTAATGTTTTGTATTTTTAGTAGAGACGGGGTTTCACCACGTTGACCAGGATGGTCTTGATCTCTTGACCTCGTGATCCACCCGCCTCGGCCTCCCAAAGTGCTGGGATTACAGGCGTGAGCCACCGCGCCCGGCCCCCATCTTTATCCTTAATTCCACCCTCTCCACAGGGTGTTGCTCCCCACTTTAGTCTTCTAAGGAACATGGCAATTTTCCAGCTATCAAGGGTGTGCACATATATTTCATCAGCACGGTAACCCTGAGAAGCAAGTATTATTATATCCTCATTTTACTTTTTTCCCTCTCATTTATTTTTTTGTTGTGATAAAATATACATGACAGGCTGAGTGCAGTGGCTCACGCCTATAATCCCGACATCCCGGAAGGCCAAGGCAGGAGGACCACCCGAGCCCAGGACTTCAAGACCAGCCTGAGCAACATAGGAAGATCCCATCTCAAAAATTTTTTTTAATTAGCCAGGCAAGGTGGCCCACAGCTGCAGTCCCAGCTACTCAGGGGACTGAGGTGGGAGGGTCACTCCAGCCCAGCAGGTCAAGGCTATACCGAACCATGTATATCCTCATTTTATTTTATTTTATTTTTTGAGACGGAGTTTCACTCTTGTTACCCAGGCTGGAGTGCAATGGCACGACCTCGGCTCACCGCAACCTCCGCCTCCTGGGTTCAGGCAATTCTCCTGCCTCAACCTCCTGAGTAGCTGGGATTACAGGCACGCGCCACCATGCCCAGCTAATTTTTTGTATTTTTAGTAGAGACGGGGTTTCACCATGTTGACCAGGATGGTCTCGATCTCTTGACCTCGTGACCCACCCGCCTCGGCCTCCCAAAGTGCTGGGATTACAGGCGTGAGCCACTGCGCCCGGCTTATATCCTCATTTTAAAATGTCAGCAAAGGCCCAATGGGATAGTAGTATGCTCTTAAATAAGATTTACATCACCCCTTCCGACCTCAGATCCCATATTCTTTCCAGCACACCACACTCCCCCTGGCTTCCTTAAGGTGGGGCCTCTCTGTAGAGAAGCTCAGGGAGACTCACCCCTCACTCCTTCCCTCACTCTGCCAGCTCCTTGGTGGCCGGGCCCGACGGGTAGCCATGCTGGGTGTGTTCCTGGTCTCCGCAGTGGCCCATGAGTATATCTTCTGCTTCGTCCTGGGGTTCTTCTACCCCGTCATGCTGATACTATTCCTTGTCGTTGGAGGTGAGCTGGCCTCCGTGCCACTGGAGGGGAGCCATCCAGAGGGAGGCCTGGGTCCTGCTCCCGGAGATCCCAGTCTGATGGTGGGAGGCCTTGCCCCCAGGACTGAAGGCGAGGCTGCTGGGCCTGAGAGGTGGAGTGCGGAGGGACTTGGAAAGCAGGGAGGGAGGCAGCATTGGGAGGAGCCACGGCATATCCTGGGGCATGAGGGAAGAGGTTTCTGGTTGGAGAACATTTGAACAGAGCACTCATGGAGGAAGACAAAGAGGAGGACACTGGCTCAGTATGAGATGCAAACAAGAATTCTGGTTTTACATGGGCCATTTGAGACCTCCACGAATTTCTGCACCTGGGTTCAAGATCTTCTCCAATGGGGCCTTCCTGTTCCATCTCTTCCCAATACCCTGGGATAGGAGGGAAGCCAGAAAGACAAGGCCCAGATATCTGGAGCTGGAGTGAAAACCTTTCCTCCTGTACCAGGAATGTTGAACTTCATGATGCATGACAAGTGCACCGGCCCTGCGTGGAACGTGCTGGTATGGACCTTGCTGTTTCTGGGCCAAGGAATCCAGGTCAGCCTGTACTGCCAGGAGTGGTATGCACGGCGGCACTGCCCCTTAACCCAGGTAAGAGACCACAACCCTCACCTAGCTCTCCACCCATGAGGACACACAGCCCGACACCCAATTCACCAGCCACGGTCAGGCACCAGGGCCTGGCTTGGGGGTGATGGACTCTCATGTCTTGGATGCACAGGGTGGGTCAACAGCAATGATCTCATTTATAACTTATTCTTCTCTGGCTCAGACAACCTTCTGGGGGCTGGTGACACCTCGATCTTGGTCCTGCCGTATCTAGAGATCAGGGCACCCTTACTGCCCAGATGACACCACCAAGTTCTCTGCCTGCAAAGCCTGGGACCAGGATTCCTCTCTGAATTCCCAAACTTGTCTCTGAGTCAAGGCGACCTGCACACAAGACCCCACCAGGGAATTGCAAGGGCTGAGATCTGCAGATATGTAGGTAGCTGAGCACAGACCTCAGCAGAGGGGTAACAGGGGCGACTCTTCAGGCCCTATCCCCATGGACTGGGTACAGCAGACCCTCCCACCCCATGACTCTCTTGAGGAGACTTGGGGGACTGTAAGGATTTGATGAATGTGAAAGAACTCAGAGAAATTGGGGCCACCAAGGTTTGAAAAGGGTTTGGTTCTTGATTTTGTATTTCTTCCAATACAGCAATAAACTTCGCCTCCCTTTTTATCCATTCATTCATTCATCATTTGTTGAAGGCTCACTTGGATTTTTGTAGAGTTGTGTCTGCAGAGGCAAGACTGTGTGGTAGGATGGGTGAGATTCCACCCCCATCTCCCAGAAACCTGACCTCAACCCCTCTTCCACCTCTTCTCCAGCTCACACTGAATTTTCCAGCCCCTTTAATCCTTCTGCTCCTGGCAATGCCTAGCACACTTTGAGAGGGCAAAATGTGTCCTTCTTTCCTTTTGCAGACCCAGGAGAAGAATGTCTTGTACCGACCTGAAGCAAAGCTTTTAATTTCCTGAAGTTTCCACAGCTATTAAAGAGATATTAAAATTAGGAGTGTCCTGACTGAAGGAGACAGAAGGTCAAATTCTTCTATTCAAAACTGTTTCAGAAACCAGACTGAGGCTGGGTGCGGTGGCTCATGCTTGTAATCCCAGCAGTATGGGAGGCCAAGGGGGGCGAATCATGAGGTCAGGAGATCAAGACCATCCTGGCTAACATGGTAAAACCTCGTCTCTACTAAAAATACAAAAAATTAGCCAGGCATGGTGGCTCGAGCCTGCAATCCTAGCTATTTGGGAGGCTGAGGCAGGAGAATCGCTTGAACCCAGGAGGTGGAGGTTGCAGTGAGCTGAGATAGCACCACTGCACTCCAGCCTGGGCAACAGGGCGAGACTCTGTCTCAAAAAAAAAGAAAAAGAAAAAGAAAAAAAAAAAAAAAAAGAAACCAAACTGAGTGGTCTGCCCTCCCCACACTAATTCCTTGCCTGATCTGGTTCTGGAGAGCTATCTGTGTAAGAAAAGGGGGGAACATTAGCCTTGGGGGACTGAGAGCCGAAAAACCCAGGGTTCTAAGAAAGAGAGATGGGGTATTTCTTTTCTTTTCTTTTTTTTTTTTTTAACATTTTGACAGTGTGTTTAAGACGTTTTTTTATGTCAACAAATATAGATCTATTTTGTCACTTTTATTTATTTTCATTTTTTTACTTAAATTAAATTAAAATAAATAATAATGGGGTGTTGCTATGTTGACCAGACTGGTCTCAAACTCCTGGTGCCAAGCAGTCCTCCCATCTCGGCCTCTCAAAGTGTTGGGATTACAGTTGTCAGCCACTGCACCTGCCTTGTCATTTTTAATAGTATCACATTGTGTGTGTGTGTGTGTGTATGTGTGTATACTATAATTTAATTACATATATTTCAATTATTTCCAATATTTTGCTCTTATAAACAACTCAGTGTACCTTCACTGACGAGAAGGACATCCTAATGTATATATACATCTTTGTGCACTTTCCTAAGAGAATTTTCTAGATACAGAATTACTGGGACATTAGATGGGCTTACTTCAAATGTACACAGTGCCAAACTTCCCTCTTACATGAATTTATATTATATGATATTGCCCATTTCCCCACCTCCCTGCCAATGCTGGGTTTTGTCTAATTTTTAATTTTTGGCAATCTGATAAGCAGAAAATTATATCTATTGTTTTTATTTTGCATTGCATTCTTATCATTACTTTAAAAAGTTAAATATATTTTCCTGTGTGCATTTACCATTTTAATTTAATATTTTATTATTTTTAAAAGGTTCATTTATTTATATCTATCTATTTATTTATCTGTTTAAGACAGGGTCTTGCTCTGTCACCCAAGCTAAACTACAGTAGTGCAATTTTGACTCACTGCAGCCTCTACCTCCTGGACTCAAGCAATCCTCCTACCTCAGCCTCCCAAGTAGCTGAAACTACAGGCAAGTGGCCCACACCTGGCTAATTTTATATCTATCTATCTAGCTAGCTAGCTAGCTAGCTATCTGGCTATTTATTTTTGAGACAAAGCCTCACTCTGTTACCCAGGCTGTAGTGTAGTGGCATGGTCTCGGCTCACTGCAACCTCTGCCTCCCAGGTTCTCCTGCCTCAGCCCCCCATGTAGCTGGGTGTTCAGGCACCCGCCACCATGCCCAGCTAATTTTTGTATTTTTAATAGAGGTGGGACTTCACCATGTTCGCCAGCCTGGTCTCAAATTCCTGACCTCAAGTGATTGGCCCACCTTGGCCTCCCAAAGTGCTGGGATTACAGGCATGAGCCACCGCTCCCGGCCTTGTCACATATTCTTTATTTGCTGGTTTGTATCAGGATCCAAATAAACTCTATCCCTTGGAAGTGGTTTCATTTCTTTTCATCTATGGATTCCTATCCCATCTCCTATTTTAACTTTTTTTTAATATACGATAAAACGTAAAGGTCTTAACTGTTTAAGCCAATTAGGTTCATATATACCCACGTAATCATCTCATCAAAACACGACAGAACGCCGGGCGCGGTGGCTCACGCCTGTAATCCCAGCACTTTGGGAGGCCGAGGCAGGTGGATCACGAGGTCAAGAGATTGAGACCACCCTGGTCAACATGGTGAAACCCCGTCTCTACTAAAAATACAAAAAATTAGCTGGGCATGGTGGTGCGTGCCTGTAATCCCAGCTACTCAGGAGGCTGAGGCAGGAGAATTGCCTGAACCCGGGAGGTAGAGGTTGCGGTGAGCCGAGATTGCGCCATTGCACTCCAGCCTGGGTAACAAGAGTGAAACTCCGTCTCAAAAAAAAAAAAAAAAAATGACAGAACATTACCACATCCCCAGGAAGTTCTCTCATGCCCTTTTCTAGTCAACTACCCAATCAAAGACAACCACTTTCTAATCTACCCTCATATCTTAGCTTTACCTGTTTTACAACTTTGTATAAATAGAAATCTACAGCATTTCCTCCTTTATGAACGGCTTGTTTCACTGTAACATTTTAAAGATTAATTCATGTCTTGCATATGTCAATTGTTTGTACCTTCTTATTGCTCAGCACTATTCCATTTATGAACACATCACAATCTGTTTCTTCACCTTTTGATGGGCATTTGGGATGTTTGGAGTTAATATGAATAAGGCTGCAATAAAGATTCAGGTGGATACTTGAGAAGAATATGTACTCTTAAATATGAATTAGGTCAACTTGTTTGATAAAATTGTTCAATCTTCTATGTCTTTACTGATCTTCTGTCTACTTGTTCTATCAGTTACTGAGAGATGGTGAAATAATTGTGGATTTCTCGATTTGATTTGATTTCACATATTCTTGAACCTCTGTTTTTAGGTCCGTAAACATCTATTTAGGGTTGTTATGTCCTCTTGATGAATTTACCTCTTTACGAAGCAGCCAACTTTTTTCTTTTTTTTTTGAGATAGGGTCTCACTCTGTCACCCAGGCTGGAGTACAACGGCATAATCACAGCTCACTGCAACCTCCGCTTCCCAGACTCAAGTGATCCTCCCACCTCAGCCTCCCTAGTAGCTGGGACTACAGGCATACGCTAGCACACCTAGCTAATTTTAAATTTTTTTTTTTTTTTTTTTGACGGAGTTTCGCTCTTGTTACCCAGGCTGGAGTGCAATGGCGCGATCTCGGCTCACCGCAACCTCCGCCTCCTGGGTTCAGGCAATTCTCCTGCCTCAGCCTCCTGAGTAGATGGGATTACAGGCACGCACCACCATGCCCAGCTAATTTTTTGTATTTTTAGTAGAGGCGGGGTTTCACCATGTTGACCAGGATGGTCTCGATCTCTTGACCTCGTGATCCACCCGCCTCGGCCTCCCAAAGTGCTGGGATTACAGGCTTGAGCCACCGCGCCCGGCTAATTTTAAATTTTTTTTGTAGAGACGAGGTCTCACTATGTTGCCCAGGTTAGTCTCAAACACCTGTGCTCAGGTGATCCTCCCACCTTGGCCTCCCAAAGTCCTGGAATTACAGGCTTGAACTCAACATCACACCCAGCTTGAAATAGCCAGCTTTATCCTTGCATGACACCTTGCTTTGAAATCTACTTTATCTAAATTTTTTTTTTTTTTTTTTTGAGATGGAGTCTTGCTCTGTCACCCAGGCTGGAGTGCAGTGACGCAATCTCGGCTCACTGCAACCTCCGCCTCCTGGGTTCAAGTGATTCTCCTGCCTCGGTCTCCAGAGTAGCTGGGACTACAGGCGTGCATCACCACGCCTGACTAATTTTTGTATTTTAGTAGAGACAGGGTTTCACCATGTTGGCCAATCTGGTCTTGAACTGCTGACCTCAGGTGATCCACTCACCTTCGCCTCCCAAAGTGCTGGGATTATGGGCATGAGCCACCGCACCTGGCCAGGATTTCCTTTCCATTTGTCAAAGGAACTATTTCATTTGTTCCCTCTCCTTCCACCATCCCTCTCCAAGTCCACAGAACCCCCCAGCAGCTATCCTCTGCCCCAATTCCTTCCTGTTAAGGAATTGGGAGTTCTCCCTCCTCCCTCTCCTCGCGCCGTCTCACTCAGTCATATCAGCAGCTCTGCACCCCCATTCTCCTTTCTAATAGATGGCTCCCAATGGCAGCCAGCTATGCTCCTCCACCCTCCCCAGGTCTAACTGTCCCTCCCCTCACCCACAGCCGCACCAGGCTGCTGTCCCACTTCTCAGCTCCCTGTCACCGCCACACCTCTCCAAAGAGTTGCCTGTCCCCTCTGCTGAGGTTTCCCACCTCACACTCACGCGCGTGTTGATCACGGATCTGCAAAGGGGCCCCCCACATTTTAATGACAAGCCTTCCTGTCATTTTCCTTCTCATCAGAGGAACCCACTCTAGCACATAACAAATCTGTACGGATTCTTGAAAATAGAGTGCTTTACTCTATCTTTTAAATTTATACAAAGGGTTGGATCAGCTTTATTCAAATATAATTCACATATTGTACAATTTGCCCACTTAAAGTGTGCAAGTGAATAATGTTAGTATATTCAGATTTGTGCAACCATCACCACCGTTAGGTTTATTTATTTTTTTTATTTTTTTATTTTTTATTGACCTCCTGCTCCCCAGTGGGTCCCCTGCTTCTGCTGGCCTAATGTCTCAGAACTTTGGTGTCGTTGGTCTCAGACACCACTTTGCCATCCACTATCCAGTGGGTGGTGGTCTTTTGGGTGATTTGC